GTGCATCCTCGAGAAACAGGGGGAAACATTGATATCATTAAAATTGTAGAGTTTCTGTTAACTAGTCGGGCTCTGTGACGGTGGCCCCTTGTGGTTGACTAACCCAGCTCATGGACTGGGTGGACTAACTCCACTTCATGGATGCCCTGTCCCCATGTGCAGAAGGAAAACTGCCTACCATTCCGTCCTGACCACGTCTCGATTGAGCTGTTTTCATATCGCCGGAACTCTCTGATGTCAGGACTTGCAATGAGCAATGCAGATAAAAGGCATGAGCATCTCTCTCCTTGTTGAAAAACCTTTGCACAGAATTGCAAAAATTCTGGTATCAAGTTTATTTTTGAGCATCTACAATTTTAAATTACCAAGACTAAAAATCTCTCTAGCATCTACTGCCCTAGAAGAAAAAAAAGACAGCGGGAGCCATATGTTATTGGTGCATTCTAATGTTCCCCTCCTACAAGTGCTTTGGCATGCAAGTAATGTACTTTTAATATCACTTACAATAAAAACATTTTCCAACTCTCTGTACAAAAATGTTTAAACAATAAGAAGGTGCTATTCATGAAACAGTTGTACACAGATACCTCACTGCAGCTAGGGTCAAGTTGCTTTGGGATGGTGTCCATCTCAAAAAGCTTACATTGCAGAGTAAGGAGGTAAGTGGAGAGGGAATTACATTAAGAAAAAAATAAATAATTGCAATGATTTGGAAGAAATGCTACACTGGTCTTACCTTCCAGGCAAATAGTTTGGGAAGTGTTCTTGATTAGCCTTTATGTGGTTTTGTGTCCACAAATAACAGACACAGTTTTTTGCAGTTATTTGCAGTTGTCTTGTATCAACAAATCAAAAGTGAAGGCAAATAGCATGGCTGAATGATTCCTACTTCTTTTTAAGCCAGCTGAGAAGTCATGCACAGAACATTTAAAAGCAACTGACTGACATCTGCCCCTGAGCACGGTTCATAACCTGAGGGTGCGACCATCACAGACTTCCTGAAATATGTCACAGCTGACCCAGGAGTGTTTCACATTCCACCTCCTCTAGTTTCAAGCCTTTTTCAAGATGCCAGTTAAAAAAAATATATATTTATAAAGTGGTTAGTGTCATTAATGCCTTGAAAATAAAAATCTATTCACAAAGAATGTCAGTAAGAACTGAAGTGAGATAAACTAGTAGTTTCTTTTTCTTTCTTTTTTTGTGAAAAAGTTTGTTCATATTAAAGTATTAATTCCCTTTACCTTTCAGTCACCAGATTTCATGGCTGTGTATTTCCTTTACCCTGGCAAATGTTCCCAGCAATGTGTATCTCTGCTATAATTAATTTTGAAAGAAAAGCAGACATGCAAATTGCCATTCGCTCTCAGTGGATTATCTAGATGCAGACTTGCTACACAATGAAAAGTTGCCTCTGATTCTACCACATATCAAATAAGCCAGATGAATCTAATACACAGTGCGGATTGACTGTGTTTGATGTAGGTCTGTAAGGATTTCAAACATATATTTTCTCAGTGAGGATGATTTCTCATAGACCATTCACAGTGCTGCTCTTTTCCTCTGCATTGGTTATCAAATCATCATTAATCATACCAGAGTCTCCACCATTACTCATATCAGAAACACCACTGCCATGGGAAAACAAACAAACAACAAACAAACAAATATATGGGGCTAAGATAAGACAAAACAAACATTTACTCTGAGTCCAGTGGCCAGACTGGGAGTGATGCACTTAAAGCTCTCCTACCTATTGAATAAGATAAAGCTATGAATTCCAGCAATGACAACTCAGGAAACCTTGGCATGTAGCACAATATACTGTGAAGCATATGTACAAAATGTACATCAGCTTTTATTTTTATTAACGTAATAAATTAGCTTATTAAAAATAGCTAAATAAGCCACAATTAAAACAGGCTTTCAGGCTAGAGTCACTGTTATGACTGGAAGCCATTCTGCTAGCAGGATAGAGGTTAAGATGGCGATGACCCTTTGATACTTCTGTTACTCTGTGTCTGAGAAATTGTAAAGATAAATCACTGGAGAAAACCTGAAGACCATGCAAAATGTCTCTCTCTGATGCTTTTAATACTACTCCCCTAATAATATTTTTCGTATTTATCCTTTTAATTTTGTGCTCAGATTTCAAGTATATCAAGTAAGGGCCTTCTCCCTGGTTTTGTTTTGTAGGATCTCTACAATGGGAACCGCAGGTCCATGGCTGGAACCCATAGATGCTACAATATTTCAGATAAGTACACCGAGTACTTTAGGTTCTCCTTTGAATTGCTTTTGGACCTTGGGCCTGCAGAAGGCTGAGATATATTAAGCTTGGCTACACATCTCCTGGATTATAGCTGACATACCCAGCCAGCCTGGGGTGGAACCTATTCAAGTAGATATACTAAAATTGATAGCATTGTTGTACTGAAGCACATTCCAAGAAGGACCACATGAAGGTTACCATCTTCTGATCAAACAAACTATCAAAAGAAAGTATGTATTTAAAAATTAGTGTTTTTTATATAGAGAGAGGTGAGCAGAGGGAGAAAGAAGAGAGGAGAGGAGAGGAGAAGAGAGGGGAAGGGGAAGGGAAAATAAGAAAGAAAAAGGGACAGGACAGGAGAAAAGAGAAAGGAGAAAGGAGAAGACCAGGAGAAGACCACCCCAGAAAAGAAGGCCAGGTCCAATAACCTCGTTGCAATTCACAATAATTATTTAGGTTCACCACAGTTTAATGATAAATGCACAGCACCATATAGAAAGTTATACAAATAAAGTGGGAGCTGAGCCTGCCAGCAGTGCTCCATAGTCAATGCAAACACAGACAGTACAAATTAACTCAGGTAACCAGTAAACCAGACCAATAGGAAAGCTGCCTTTTGCAGCCATTCTACTTCTGGGAACACAAAAATCCGTATCAACTAAAAATAAAATAAATGTTTCATTAAAGCTCCCAATGCATTTGTTAAACAAGAAGAATAATCTGTAGGATAGGTAAGGATATGCTGCTTGGCAAAGTAACTTGCTCTGAGGGATTCAGCCTGCCATAGTACAACAGGTCCTTACCATGTAGAGCAAATTAAGATTGCATTGCTAGCTGCTGTGGAACACCACCTTCAGCAGCTTTTCATCCAAGAACGTATTTCTTATCTTCCAGGATTTGGGCTCACCTACAACACATTTTGCTAAGAGTAATTTGAAAACAGTGAATGTGATGATAGCCTAATCACTCAAAACTTTAGCAATGAAAATATGGAAAGGCTGTTGTATAAAAAGATAGCTAAATAGAATAGTTTCATTTGACAGAAATAGAAAATATGACTCAGATAGGGAAAAGAGCTCTTTGCTCTTTAAAAAATCACTCTCGTTATTCCTCTTTCTCTAACACAGGAGCCTTTCAGGGAGACTCTGGTGATGCTGCATTATTGATGTGATACAGGTCTCCAGTGGAAACAGATGTGATATGTTTGGTTTTCCCTGATAGTCTGGGCTGAACACAAAGCAAATTACTGAATGTCAGAAGACTCAGGTTCATCGAGACCGTTCAAAGCACACCTTTAAAAGAAGTTCTTAAATAATAAATCTTAAATTTCAAGCCTGTTGCATAACCAAAAGTTATCCATGTATTAAAAGAAATGTGTCCCAAGTGATTTTGCTGAGACAAACTGCAAATGACATTAAAATGCGTATGTGCAGCTTCAGGATTTGTTTGTTCTCAAACCAGGCACTGAGAGTTGGGGGAGAAAGACACGTAATAGCAGTCTGGGTGAACACAAAATCGCAGAATTGTTGAGGCTGGAATATATACAATTTATCTGGATATGCATAACCTCTCTGACAATTTTCCCAAACCGTGTTGGATCCTTCATTTTTAAAAACATAGTTTGACACCATAAACATTCTCTTTATTGCCCCTCGGTTTCAGGCAGGCTATTTTACAGGCAGCATAGTTTTCCCACACAAGAGGTCAAGCAGAGGTAGAAGAGAGCTGGTTTGGCCCAGGCTAGGTCACACTCCAGCTTCAAAAGGAATCCAAGGCCACTATACAAAAAGGCAGGCTTGGTCAATTCACCCCAGAACACCACTCACTGTACATTAGGAGCAAACCCAAGCCATAGGATGTGTATTTACCAAGATAGCAATCTTTCGAGCTCACAGTGGACCTGTAACAGGACTTGACTACAGCAATCGGCAGTAATCTCATGAGTAAGAGAAGCAGTGTGAAGGGACACGCTAGATTATTTCTCTCAGGTGATAGCTTCAATTTAATCAGTTTTCACAAAGCACCTCAGAAGAGAACAAAGTTTCCTGGTCTCTGCTGAAAATGAGAGATCCTGGGTGACACCACTGATCCATCTCAGCTGCCACTTTCTCCTTCCATCCTCTTTCTTCATCTTTTCACCTGCTTCTTGTCTTTTTCTCTAGGCATTCCTGCAAACTTGGGGGGAAAAAGCAAAGGTGGGGTGGCTGAGCCTGAGGCTGCCGAGACATCACTGGTGGAAAGGAGACTGAGGGTCTTCCCAGTCCCCGTTACTGAGATCCTAAACGGGAAACCTGGTGAACCCTGGGAAGGACTAAGAAGGTGAGAGGAGATGGGAGAGGACAGCCCCTGGGGGTCGCCATCGGGGAGGAGAGGAGAGGAGAGCCTGCACCTCGCCAGGCACTTGCCGGACGGGGCGGGGGAAAAGAAAAGGCGAACAGCCCCGGCCCGGCGGGGCCCGGCCCGGCGGGGCCCGGCCCGCACAAGATGGACGGGCCAGGCGAGGCCGGGCAGGGCGGCTGGGGGCGGGGCTTCCGTGGGCGGGGCCTTCGCGGGCGGGGCCTCCGCGGGCGGGGCCGCCCGGGGGGCGGTCGCAGGTGCGCAGGTGGCGGGGGCGGGGGGAGGCGGCCGCGGCCATCCTGCCGCAATTTCCCTGTGTCACGGCTCCCGTCTCCTAGCAACGGCGCCGAGTCCGGCCGGCAGCCGCGGCAGCCGCGCACCGCCCGCAGCGGCGGCGGCACAGGCGGCGGCTCCGCCGGGCCGGCGGGGCCGGTCGGGCGCGCTGCCGGAGCGCGGCCCCGCGGCGGGAAGGATGCGGCATGGCCAGGGGGCAGCGCTCCCGCGGAGCTCCCTGAGGCGGCCGGCGGCGGCGGGGCCGAGGGGGCGCCCGGCGCTCGGCCCAGCCCCGCCGCCCGCCCGCCCGGGGCCGTGAGGGGCGGCGGCGGCGGCGGGGCGGGCGCCGGGCGGGGATGCCCGCTCGGGCCGGAAAGTTTCTTCCCCGCGGCGGCTCGGCCGCTTCCCGCGCGGACTTCTCCCCGGTCCTCCTCGGTAAGTGTCCGCGTTCCCGCCCCCCGCCCCCCGCCGCTGCCATTTTGAGCGGCGGCTCCGTCCGCCGGCGACCCCCGACCGACGCCCCGAAGGCGAAGGGGGGGGCCGGGGCTGCCGCCCGGCGGGGTTCGCCGCCCTGTCCTGACGGCGGGGAGCTGGGGGGCACCCGGCGAAGCCGGCGGCAACCCCGGGCTGGCGCCCCGGGGTCCGGTGCCCGAGCTCCGTTAAAACGGTGCGTGGCGGCCCTTGCCCCGCCGAGCCCCGTCTGTGGCGCCCAAGGGGTGGGAAGGGGTTAACCCGGGTCCTGTGAATGCTCTTAAAACTGCGTTGGGTCCTCACCGAGCGAGGTCGGGGCAGGGCTGGAGGGCTCGCCCGGGGAGTCGGGGTGCGGGGGGGGGGCAGGTCGCGGTCGGTTCGTGCGAAATGGGGCTGCAGCCCCTGCGAGTCCCGGCCGGTTTTGCTGCGCTGCGGTCCGCGGCGATGCCCGGCCGTGCCCTGCTTCGCGTGCCGAGCTCTGCTCCCTCCGTCGCCAAAACTAAGTGCCAGGCGATGCCGAACGGGGCAGGTTCCTCGGAGCTGATCGCCATCTGGTTTCGCCGTGGTGGAGGAGATGGGCTGCCTGGCTAGCGGGGCAGCAGATAAAACGAGATCGACCAACCGGCAATTAAAGCAAAGCATGCCCTGATAATTACACTTTTGCATTAACAAAAAAACGCTCCTTTGTTTTGGTTTTTTCCTTTTTTTTTTTTTTTTTTTTTTTTTTGCGTTGTTTTAAAAAACAAATAGTTGAGCGATAGGAACGAGAAGACGAGACTGCTCTTTGTTTTGAGCGTGTGGTACCTCGGGGAGTAATTTAACAATGTCCTCGCTGACAGCACCCTTCTTTTTCTGGGGAAAATACAAACGGAGTAAATGGGGCACAAAATAACCGTATACATGGCAAATCTTGGAACAGAACAGAAAAGAAATGAGATTTAAAAGCTGAACGGGAGAATGGGAGCAAGATTTTTTTAATGATTATGTTTTTTAGGTTCTTACTTAATTGCCTTTCAGTGCAATTAATTGAACTTTGTGAATCATATTACAGTTGGTAATGTCATCTTTTGCTCTCTCAAAGAAAAAATAATCGGACAATCAGAAACGGGGGAGGGGATCCTGCTCCTTGGTAGCATGAAGGAATAGCTTCCCAAAAGAATTGCAACAGTGTAGGAATTACTCTACATGCAGCATTTTTTAGCTCAGATCACTTGAACAGAGAGATGACTTCTGACAGTCCACTAAAACAAAAGCCATAAATGCTCAATGTTTAGTTCCCTGCCAGTTGCCCTACAAGCAGTCATTGCTGTTTCCCCAGGTGACTCGCAAAGATTCGTTCCGCCTTTAATAAGATTTGCCATGCCATCTCTTACCTGCCAGCCACCATCTCCTCTGTCTGGGGGGAGGGGGGGGAATTTGCTGCTGTTGCATAACGGTTACCTGGAGCATCGCACATGTCCCCAAACAAGGGATGTCTCTGGACTGAAGGTGGGAGATGAATTTCTGTAATATTGCAGATCGAGTGCAAAGGGCTAGGAAGAAACTTTCACAGGGCTCGGCTTTCCAGTGTTCAAATGTTTCCCTTGTGTATTTCATAATAATTCCTTTCCCACTCATTTAAGAAAGGCAAGTAATATGTTTAACACTACCCCCCCAGTAATGTGTAAGTAGTGTAATGAAACAAATGTTATCTATAGATCAAATATATTGCCTTCCTGCTTTTATTTCCTCTATCACCTCAAATCCTGCATGACATCACTAACCACAGTCAGTGTGCAGTGTAACCCCAAACCCTGTTAGGGAGTGGAGCTCAGCATCTTCTGAGCTCTGGTGCTTTGCTAGCTCCTTCTGAGACCGGTAAGATAATTTTTTTTTGCTTACATCAGCAGATACCACTCCCTCTATCATTTACCTGGAGTGTAAAGAAATTAATTAGTTGTTTGGCAAGAGTGTAGTGGGGCACATGGCTGCTTTGATGCTGTCAGTCTGCCTGCCGCTCACATACGGGAGCTGTGTGGGCAAGGGAGATCGGCCTGTTGGTGTCAACCCCTGTTACACTTGTTGAGGGTTTTAATTTGCAGGAGTTTGAATGAGGAACAGCAAACAGAGACACCTCTTGTGCCGCAGGTCTGCCCCTGGTCTTCATCTTCTTCTCTTCTCCCTTTCACTGCAGGATCTGGAGTGGCTGTAGGGGGCAGGGCTCTGGGTAGCCAGCCATGATCGCCACTGGAGGCCTCCTGAGGATCTCGGCTAGGAAACAGGACCCTTTGCGACCCCAAAGCCAAGTCCCCAAACGCAAACGCAAGGCCAAAAAGAAGCGCAAGAATGATGTGGTGGTGGTGAAAGGCAAGCTCAAGCTGTGCTCCCTCTCGGGGCTCATCGCCCTCTGTGGCATCCTGGTACTGCTTGTGGGCATCACCTTGGCTGTGGTGGGCTACTGGCCAAAGCCCAGCCAGGTGTACAGAGAAGGCAGTTTCGGCGGGGGCCGGCACCTGGCACCGCAGGGTAGCACCCCCAAGAACCGCTCCCGGAACCAGGAAGGGGCACAAGCAGGGATCCATCCGGAGTCACCCCCCAGAGCCAACACCTCCACCACTGCTTCCACCCGGGGGTCCCCACCGTCCCCCCCCACCTCCTTGTCTCCCCAGGCCTCGGTGGGTTTCCTTTTCCGTCTTTTCTCGAGCTACCTGCATTCAGACAAGCTGAAGGTGCTGGGCCCCCTCATCATGGGTATCGGCATCTTCCTCTTCATCTGCGCCAATGCGGTACTGCACGAGAACCGCGACAAGAAGACCAAGATCATCAACCTGCGTGACCTCTACTCCACCGTCATTGATGCCCACAGCCTGCGGGCCAAGGACGGAGGCACCCCGGCCTCAGCCCCTCTCAACGGCTTTGTCAACTACGTGCAGACCCGGGGCCTAGAGCTAAAGCCTGGCGGTGAAGGCCTGGGTGCTGCGGCCATGCTGGCCAAGAGCTCCTGGCCACCAGGACTAGGTGTCTCCCTTTCCCCGCCGGACCTGGCGTCCTCGCCACAGCATTCCTCCTCCTGCACCCCTCCGCAGCCGCCCAGCCTGGCCGAGGCTGTGTACAGCATCTACCAGGAGCGTGCTGCCCTCGCTGGCCGCGCTGTCACCAGCCCGCCCTGCAGCCCACCGGAGAGCTGGGGTCGGCGCAGCACAGCCAGCTCCATCGTCGGCTCTTCGCTGAGCGCTTTCGCCCTCCTGCCCTTGGCACCGAGCGGCGGAGGCTGGCGGAGACCCCCTGGTGAGCGGGGAGCCCGGGAGATCCCGCGGGGGGAGTTTGAACTGAGCCTGACCAACCTCAGCAGCAGCCACGGCGAGGGCAGCTGTGGGACGAGGAGGCACAAGCTGGTTCTCAGGCGGCAGAGCACCAGCTGCCTGCCCGATGCCAGGCGTCCCCTTTTCCCTGAGCCACCTCGGTCTCCGGCTGTCAGCAGGGGCCTAGACTCCAGCCTCTTGGTAAAGGCATCTTCTAGCTACTCCAGATCTCTAGATCTGGGGGGGGCACCCCCCTCAACCCCTCCTGCCATCACCAGGACGGACTCCCAGAGCTCCCAGTCTGAGCCTTCCAGCAGCAATAAGGGCTACAGCCACCTGGAGGAGGCAGGCACCTCCTTGGAGTCAGTTGCCAACACCCCAGCCAGTAAAATCCAGGACTGTGAGGAGGAACCAGTTGAGAAGACAGACCCCCTCAAGGCTACCAGCAGAGAACAAACAGGGGAGCAATCCCAGCAGACTCAAAGACGGTATACAAATAAAGAGAAACTCTTTATGATTTCTAGGTCTCACGCTGCATTAGGGCTGGAGGATGGGGAACTGGAGAGTACTGGCATCTAAACAAAACAGAGAAGGCACGAGGACACCTTGCAACCCTCCACACCTTCCCTTCTTCTCCATCTCCTTGTGGACTTAGGAAACCGATCAATATCCAAAGAGCTGCAGTATGTTACCCTTGAAAATTGAATTCCATAAATCCTGTAGATGACTTCAGGAAGAAAAAGAAAATCCTTTCTGTCCGATTGTGATTGTATGTTCCATGCAAACCAAATTGTATTACATATCCACAGTCCAGCAAGTTCTTTGGATCAGATTAATACAATTTCGGACAGTGTAGCTGTGCACTTTACTGTTTTGATTTCCAAGTGCCCCTTCTTCTCCTCTGATCTCTTTCTTGCTGATTTGCCACTAACTGAAAACCGCAGGCACCTTTTTAAGCTCAAGAGCAATGTGGTATTCAGATCAAGAAAGCCGAGCTCTCTCTTTGTTTTGGTTCAATCACTAAAAAGTTTGCAAGGCCTTAAGGATGACGTACCTTGACAAAGAATGAGTTTGTTTAAATTCTGGAAAAAAATGACAATTTAGAAGAGACTGGAGCAGAACAGAGCTCTGATGATTTAGTTAAAACCATTACATTCCTGAATCCAAAATACCTACTACTACGTGATACTTTATTAAGTATTATTACACATGTATTGACTAATAGCATTAAAAGATTTTTTTTTTTTAATAAAACATTTACAAACAAAACTGCCACACAAAAAAAGTCCATTATTTTGGTAAGTACAAATGTCAGAAACCTTTTGTTTTTATACTGTGAAAGATTATAGAGATGCTATGAGGCCAAAGGTTTACTTATACTTTTAAGTGGGTAATTAATAATTTAGGAGTGATTTCAAAATAAATACTCATTTAGTCTCTGAGAAACCACACTTTAATTCAGTGTGCAGATTCTGTCTTCATTTCTAACAGTGCTCTGTGACAGCTCAAGAAATGTGAGATTTTGACATGCTAAGGAAAAATTTTTGTAAAGTTTTGACCTTCTATTAAAATTAGATTTTTCGTGACTAACACATTAATCTCAAACTGCAGAATATTCTTTCTGGATTTTTCACTTCCCTTTAACTGTTGCATTAAGCCTTTCTGCTGTTACGGTTCCTATTCGTGAATGCATGTGCATAAGCTTAATTTTAAAGCATAATGATAGCCCTGTCAATCTCGTAGGAGTTGGCCCTGCTGAAGTCAGCGGAGGTTTCTCACTGACTTTGGCGTGATGAGGATTTCTTCCTGCGTGAGAAAAGCATCAGGTTTCCTGAGGGCTGGAGAATGCCTTGTCTGTAGGCAGATTTTTGGTAAATTGATGAGCTGTTTCATTTTCGTAGCTGCAGCACGGCAGGCACTCTTATTTTGCCAGAACAGCTTTATGTGCTCAGAAGATTTTGTCAATACTTCAGATTTTAAATATGGATGTGGCATTTCACTACTACAGGAAGAGAAATCGACATTAAACAAATACGATGTGTAGGCAGGCAACAGTCTTTCTGTTGCAATTAACATTTTTCTTACGGTTTCATGTTTTAAAATGCTTAGTTACATATTTAACTACTTAAATTACAATACATTGCAGAATGGAATATAGCTATCACTAAATGCAATTGCCTTTAGTAACCATAAAAAAACATTTATTAAATAAGGCTAATTTAAAAGAAAATAAGAAAAAGAAATAAAGAACAATTTGCCATGTCAGTCTTGAAAGTGGAGAAGGAGAAAATGCTTGGTCTCTTGAGCAACAGAGGCATCCAGGTGGCAACGTCCTTCCTCCTGTCAGTGGCAACCAGTGCATTGACAATATGAACATCAGTGTGGCATTTTCTGCTATCAGACGGCTAGCACACAGCTGGGAAAATCATGTTGTAAAACTGCCTGGACTGGCATGGGCAGGATGAGGCACCCTGTGAAGTGGCAAGCAGGCGGCTCAGCTGGCGCTGGCGTTTGCACGAGTCTTTCAGTTCCCCGTGGGCCATGGCCCTGCGTTTCTGCTCCTCCTCCTGTGACTTCCAGCAAGATTTAGGAGATGTACCTGGCTAGTGTTACCTGGTGCGGACGGAGATGCTAGTTATTGACGCTGCTGAAGACACCCTGTTTCTTCTTTTCCACATGAAAACCCTTCATGGAGATGCAAAGGAAGAGGCAAGTCATGGGTGCTACTTACAGGGCCATGGGGTCCTCGTGACAATGTGGCAGGGGTTCGTTTTATTCTGAGAGGGCGAAACAAATGCCCTTTTTAATATTCTCAGTAAAAATTTCTCTAGTTGTCTGAATCTACAACGTGCTCCGAAAAAAAACTTTAAAAAAAGCCTCAGGGTACTCCTTCAACTGATTTAAAGCAAAGCAGCCCAGTAATTCTTCTGATGATTAATTTACAGCAAAGCTTTCTGAATAACAAAATTACAACAGGGTTTAGGTTTAACAAGTAAAATTATAGCTTGTTCCTGTGTTGCCAAAAAAGGTGTGAAATCCAAACTTTCATCAGTCAAGCTGGATTTTTTTATAACAGCAGCTAGAAGTAATTTGTAACATAGATTAATAAGCAGACAAAGCTGCCTCTCTCTGCATGCAAGTTATCCAAAAATCCCTCATTATTTTAGCAAATTAATTAAAGCTATTTGTTGAGCGACTTATGCGGTGATGGGGTTGGAGTCAGAAACTTTTGTTTAAAATTCAAAACGGGCAGGTTTCCAATACCCAGATGTCGGAAAATGGCTGAGAAATTCAACCCCCGTGCACCGGCCGTGACCGCTGTTAATGCCACCAGCCTTGGAGAGAAATGCAGCGGCTGGTGAGGAGCCGATCACCTCCCGTTCCTGGGGATCCTGGCAGGCACCGGCAGTGCTGGGCTTTGTGCGTTGGCCTGTTCTTGAGTCTGGCCCAGCTGGCCCTGACCGCTTCCCAGGACTGCCAGGCTGCCTCTTGGCCACCCTTTGGGCATCCTGTCACATGCTTATGCATTTATCTCCAATCTAGGCTTTTCCTTTTAACCTTTGTCTCCAGCGTCCTGCCACCAGCTGATTCCTCCCCAGTCCTTGTCAAGAGCTGAGAAGCGGCCTCAGCTTACCAGTATCCACCTGCCTGCGTGTTGCCGAAAGAGATGTGCTTCCACACAAAATGTTTGTTAAGAAGGAATTGTTAGTCACCCTATTTAAAAAGTGATATCCCCGAAGATATGCTAAGTTAGAATACCTAGGCATAAATTTTTGCTATGGAAAAAATCACGCTTTTGATCCAGAAATATGTGGTGTAGTTTGGTTTTTTAGCATAGCAGAAGTGCTATGATATTTATATAAAATTTCCAGAGGAAAAGTTTATTTCTGCCTGAACCCTCAGAGTACTCCCATCACTAGGTAGAGGGCTGCATTTGTTTGTTATGAGTATAGATGCTGCTTGGACCAGTCTGAAGACATAGGCAAATGCCCTGATTGTACTTCATCCATGCTGCTGTTTATTACAAATTCCCCAAGGCTCAAGAAGCTGCTGACATGATCGTACTATAACCCAGTTCTGGCTCAGTTTTCACTGGCTAGCAAAGTATTTACAATCCTTGTGTTAACCTGGCTCACTTGGTTGAACTGATTTATCTGACTCCCCAACTATTGACATATCAGCTGATCTACTACAAACGATTTATTACCCTGTATTGTTTAGATACATTTTTAACAGCCTTTTCAAGGACTGATGCTGTCCAACAATGAGTAACAGTGAACATACAAACATTGAATTAGGTAACAGTTAACACAGTTGTAAGCCTGCAGTCTGAGATGAGTATGGATTTCCTTAACAGCCAAAATGATTTACACAGAAGTAGCAACATGACTTCAATTGTACAGTAATTTTTATTAAAAGTAATGGAGATGGCACAATGATAAAGCTTATTGGATTTCAGTAGGAGGAATAGCCTTTGATAACATGCAACAGTTTTTCTTTCTAAAGAAGAATATGTTCATGTGGCTGCAATAAAACAGGACTGTATTTATAGTTAGAAATGAGAATTACTAATAATTTAACTAGATCACCAATTAATGCTTTGCCTCATTAACATATTTCAGTCCCTCAATTTTCTGTTTGTGTGTGAAAACAGGGAAAGAGAGGGAGAGAAAGAAAGCAAAGCAACAACCAAACTCTGGCCAAAACCTAGCCAGAAATCAGACCTTGCTACACAAAACCTCCACAAAAAAATGACTGCTTAGTGGTTGCTGATGATTAAAATCTTAATAATCAATAGAAATATAGGGGTTTTTTTTCCCTCTTTTTCTTCTAGAGAAAATACATCAAACTTTCCTCAGAAAAAATTGCTTTCTCTATCACCTCTCCAAGACTGCCAATAGCAGTAATGCAATTCTTTATCCAAGCTGCTTAATTACTACTTTTCAGCTTGGCCCCACAAACAGTGAACAAGATGCCCAGCACGTCCAGGCACAATCTGCGAGGATAAACAGGGTCTCACAGGCACAGGAAAAAAAATCTTCCATGGAAGAATATACTGTTACCTATTTTATTTCAGAAGCCAGGCTTTCTACTTACCACTTCTAAAAGCTCCAAAGCAGAAATGTCTAAGTGAGCGCACTAAAAAGTATCTTCTACCATTTAGCTTTCACTGTAGGCGTGGAGATGGAGGGAGACCCTGGAGGTCCAACAGAGGCAGGCATGGTCAAGGGAAACAGCATTGACGTTTGGCTGGGGGGAACTAGGCTTCTAGAAATCATCTGACTGGATCACAGGATAATTCAGGAATTGGAGGAACATGGGCTTTGTTTATCCACTGGTTAGTCTTTTATCTACATTTTAATTAGATAGAGGCAGGGGAGCTGCACTACTACTTGTAAAGTTTTTCTCTCCATCATTACTCTTTTCAAATTAGTGCAATGAGATGGAAAGCTTGTTTGGTGAAACTATCAGAGACGTAAACTAACAAGTGTCAAAATCACTATTAAAAACTCAGTCTGTGAGGTTTCCTTCACCCTCCTCTGCATAAAGGAGTTTCAGTCTAAGATTTTGTGTATTACTTTTTCTTTTGTCCTTTCCCCTTTCTCCCCATGACAAGGTTTGGATCTGGTGAGGACACATAACTGATACTCTCAGACTGGAAGGTAGAAATGGGGAGAGATTGTTCGGCTTTAGAGAAGCAGCCTGTTCCTTTCTAAACTTCATGGCTAAAGTAAAAAATGGAAATTAAAAAGTGAATGTTCAGCATTCAAGTGATTAATATGTTATTTTCATAAAGATTTCAATGAAGTGCAACTTTGAAGTACACATAACTCACAAGGCCAGGGTATAGTTATGGCCAAACAGCTGAAAGAACCATCACAATGTTTACTGAAATCTCTAAATATATTGAGATGAATAATAGGTGGGTTTGGGTTTTTTATGTTCTGTGAACTGTAAAAGATAAGATGTTGCAGTATTCACTGTTACATAAGCTAAGACAGTGCTATACCATCACATAACCTAGGATTGCTCTTTGTTCATCACCACTCATAAGATTTGGCATGCTGCTCACACATCTTCCCCAAACTGTCTGAGAGCAGGCTTGAGGCCACGCCATACAGCTCCCATTTTGTTGCCATAAACTAAATCAGCCATTTGTAAAGGAGCAGGGCTTCATAGCATGGCCATCAGTTCTGGTAAGAGTTGGAGCTGGAAATGACTTTTCAGATGGAGGTGGCTCAGTATAGGGTGCACTGCAGCTCCCTTCATGCCTCAGAGCAGCACAGAAGCCTCTGGGAGGGTCTCACAAAAAACTACCTGCAAAGACCTGGCAGACTAACATTTCTGAGAGCTAACGTGATGCTTCTGCAGCACCATAAAATAGCCTTCCTCCCTCATTCTTGAAGAATACTTCAGGTCTCTCTGAGCGGTATAGCATATTTTTACTTCACTGACTTTATAATCAAAATTCATTTTAAAGAAACACAGTTTGGCCTCAGAGCCTAATAGAACCTATTATTTAAAATGCTTATAGAGTCCCTATTAAAATAACATCAGATGAGCTCACAGTCCTTAACGTATTGCTCTCTAACTTGCCTTGGGTACAGAGCATGACTATCTTCCTCTGTAAAAACAATGCACAAAGATACAGCCACAAAGAGTGTAAAGACCAAATTTATTTTTTGAAACCAGACAGGAATATAGGCACTAGTATGTGATGATAACAGCACACAAATATCTGCCTCTAAGTGATGCTTCCAAACCACACAAGTAGCCTGCTGTGGAACAGAGCCTTGAACACTTGTCCTCCAACAGGAGATCCATCCCTCATCTTTAACAGAGCCTCTTTCTGCATGCAGTACACCGAAATGCTAATCTATTTCACTATCTTTCAGACTCATCGCACACAATATTACAGAAAATAACTTAGCAAAAGCATAAGACTCTCTAAAGACCTTCCTGCAGAATATTTAAGGACACAAGCAATATTAGACAGTTGATGCCACTCTGTTTCAAATTAAGAACTTAAAATGAGAACAGGTAAGGTCTGACACTGCTTATTAGTTTACTGTGATAACACAGCATAAGGTGATGATAGCAGTAGCTCTTTAGGTTTTGGAAACTTAAATCTGACTGCTGGCACTGCAAACAACACTACAGGCTGTCTTGCTTCTTGAAAATGCAAATGGAACAATTCTTGTCCTTGTGTCTGTCTTTGCAACACATACAGCATCTGGAGCAGCAGCAATGAAACAAGGACGTGTGCCAAGGCTGCGTCTCACCATCTGATCAGAGGCTAATACAAGTAAGCTGCAGAAGGAAGCTGTTCCTTTTAGACCCTTAAACTAGAGTTTTGGTTCATCCTCACCTTAATGAAGCAGTTGCACTTTTTAAGGATTTGTTTGGGACTAACATGCAGGAAAGGAGGGGATGCCCTCCTAGCAATGTTCTTTGCAAGGATCTGTTGCCTCTCCTCTGTCACACAGAGGGGGAAATCCTGAATAAACCTGTAGCACAGTTCTGGGATCAATGAGCTCCCTGTGCTTCAGCAACGCTGCACCTCGGTAGCCCTCTGGCCGGTCGCACTTGTCACTGACAATCTGGGAGGAAAGGGGCACATGATGAGCTATGGAAGGTCAGCAGCTTCTAGTCATCACCAGCTTGTAAGTCAAATGCCAGCATGGCACCTAACGAGCCCCAGGAGTTACCCAAAAAGCAAAAGAAGCCAACAAGATTGCAGGTTGCATCATCACTGGAGTCACCAAGGTAATCACTCTTGACAATTGTAGGTAAAGAAAAGCAACAAGTCACTGAAGTTTCTGTTGTACTCATCCCTGCAGTTTTGGGTTGTCAAATATGGACAAAAAGCAACCACAAAATATTACAGTTGCATCAGCAGCGGTTAGTAGCACTCGGTTGTTCCCATTTATAGCTGGCGCCAACTTCGCTGTAACTCATCACAGCTTCTGTAAGAGCTCTGCAGCTCTGCTAGCATCATCCTAGCCAAATGGAGGCAGGGGAATAAAAGGCTTTCCTTCCCTCGAATGGGAGAATCTAGTGTGATGATTAAAATAAGCCACCACCTCACTTTCTCGCTCCCTTCCCACACATCTATCCCCTCTCCGAGAAGCTGGACCACCCCAGGGCCTCCAGGGCTGCAGCCAGTGTTTGCTCCTGGCTCGGCACATGCATCCATCCTGTGTATCTGCCTCTGCCTGATGAATCCAGGGGAGCTGACCGGCCTGAAGTCAAAGGAAGCTGACACATTCAAAGTAATTACATTTGTAAAGCGATAAGATAATGTTTACTATATCTTTCATTTCATTGGCAAATTGGTCCAGTCCTCTGTTCAAATAAACACTTTATGCTGCCTAATGGTTCACCAGCAGGTTGAATTAATTTTCATATAGGGAACAGATTTCTCAACAGCAGTGTTTTCCAGCAAGCCGTATTAGGTATGTATCCAAAACGTTCTGCAGAATATCTTGTTTTAGTTTACAGTTGTAGATAAATCTCACTGGCAATTTAGGCTAATATGCTTAAGGTAACTGCTGCCATAAAAAGGATAGAACTGTTTTTCAGCAACACTGACAAAGTGAACGCAAGTATTTTGTTTAGTCTCAGCCTAGAGAAATGGTTGGGTAGAAGACAAGAATTGTATTTGGATCAACAATAGTTCCTTTACTTAAAATTACCATTTTACAATTCAGTCTCATGCTAGAAATTGAATTTTTACCCCATCAGCATTCAGAAATTCCCAGATACTTTGGTAGATTTGAGATGTCAAAACACTAGGAAATTAAGGCATACATTATTCAAATTATCTTAAAATGAGTTGTGGATTCCTCTGAGCATTTGGAATGCTTGTAAGTTGCAGGGGAAAATATCTTCAGATGTTCCTAAAACACTTATTCTTTAACACAGAAATGGAATACATATAACAATGTGGGGGATGGAGAAGGTTTTTGTTAGCAGGATCTTCAAGGGGCCTGGGTGGCATCAGTTAGTAATATATCCATTTCAAACACCTGCTGATAAATGTTCCATCCTACAGTGCTGGATTGCCTAATCTTTTTTGCTTTCTTTCCTACCACATGAGATGATAGATTATTTCTATTGCACATAGTAAATGGGAACAATATCCAGTGTTCAGCATTCTCTTAAAAAGTCTGTGTTTCATGAACATAGGGAGTATTTAGTCTTCATGATGCTGAAATACTGATTAATCCACTGGTTTTACCATCTTAAATATAGAAGCATTAGCAGGTCTTGCTCTAGCAAGAAGAGTCCTGAGAATTGCTCCATTTCTCCTTTGTCAAGGGCTACAACTTAATCAGGTTTTGTTTAAATGAATAATTCTGTTACAGTACAGAGTTTAAGTAATTATGTTACACGTGCTTGAATCTGCATACTGCAGCAGCACGATATGTATAAATCATCATGTTTATGCACAACTAAAATACATTACTTCTACATAGCCCAAAGAACTAAGCCAAATGCTAAAAACCAAAATTCTGCTGCAACACATGGAGTAACATATGCATTCAGGGTAAAACAGGTGTCTTAGATGGAGAAGGTAATGAGGAAATAGCGGATCTCATCACAGCAGTGATTTAAAGGCATAAGCATGGTAATCAGAGCTGTTTGAAATAGGAGGTTAGGCTGAACCTGCTGCAAGCTACCAAAAAAAGATAATAATCGAAGGCAATGCCAAGGAGCCCATCCACAGCCCACAAAAGCAGTGGCACCTCAAAAAGAGAGAGGAGCTCTCCTCACCAGTGTCACATTGTACGTCAGGCACATGGGAAAGGGCCCAAGTTGAAGCAGGAGCAATTCCCATAGTAGGAAGATCCTTGGCTGAGTTGCTGCTTTTGGGGCCCATGGCACTGTGGCTGGTGTATCCTTGTGTCCTCAGTGGACGTTGCCCCACCAGAGACTGGTGGAGCGTTTCCTACAATTGCAGGCTGCAGCACAGAGACTGTCCTTCAGTGAGGAGCAGGGATACTGGCAGCAGCAGCAGCACCCTCAGCATCGCTCAGCTCACCCAGCAAAGGAGCCCAGTGCTCTCAGGAACAGGAATGTGGCAGAATCATTTCCTCCCACTCCACCATTTCATCCTTCTCCACCCCATTACACACACCATGTTAATATCAACGTCTTTCAGTTCTGCCACTGCTCTTAGTTTCATGACAATATGAAAAAGTGTGGAAGATTTTCTAACAGAGAAAAATCCATAGTTTTGGTTTGATCTACCCCATCAACACTCCAGAGTGCCATATGCAAGCCCTTCTGTGGGTTCAGGAACTGCAGCCCTTCAGCTGGGGGTCAGGGTGACAATGCAAGAGTGAGGGACTGCGCGCAAAAGTGCTTCAAGATCAAGTAGGGGATTGGGGAATTTCATTTATATATATATATATAAATCATGGGAATTTGATATATATTTTTTTAAAATTTTTTTAATCAGAGGTTATGAGGAACAAGAGCAGGTTTTGGTAAATGTTTTTGCTTGAGGGATCATTCCCTTCTGCCTGCATATAGAGAAACAACATAGGGCTTTTATTGTACGGTACACTACTAAGTCAGAATACACACATGGAAATGCAATGCCTCAAGAAGGTGAAATTGCTACTCACCCCCTAAAACTGTCAGCTCCTAGTTGAAGGATCAGGCATTTAAGATGCCTGTAACCAGGTGATAGTAGGGCTCCAATCTGAAGCAACCACCTTACTGATGGCTCTGCTGTGCCAGAGGAGGCTGGCACATTCCTGTCACGGAGTGTAGGTAAATAAGGAGGAGCATCTACTCCCTTCTGCATGTGTAGAAAGTACAGGACTATGGGAAGAGAAAGCCATCTGGAGTAACCAATATAATATTTATTTATTTTAATTTAACCCACAGATATAAGGCTCTTGTTCAGCTGCAACTAACCCCCAAAAAATGTAAAGTCCAGAAGCAAGAACTGCCCAGCTGTTCAGATGACAAAGGCCCATGTGATGTTTAGTGCCTAACAGCAACTAGGGTAAGGTATTTATGGAACACGCCTTCCTTTGGCTTTTACATCCAGTTTATTGGACTAGCTAGTTTAATAAACATCCTATTAAAACCAGCCAAGAAACAGGGAGATGCTGTTGTCAAAGACTCCTCTCATGTTACTTGGAAAACAATCATCATTGCAATGCAATTCAGCTTTTAGTTCTTTAGAAAATAGGAAAAAAAAAAAAATCACAGCCAGTGGGTAATATTTAATGCAAGTTCTCTCCCACCCCAATGTTGTACCATTGTTTCAATAACTCAAGTTACATTAAACTCAACTCAATTAGAATAAATTAGCAGATCACACTTATCTTCTACATAAACTACCAGTGCATATAAAGCAAATTTCTCAAAGGGAAAAAAAATAGGCACGTTAGAGACCATAAAGAAAAAAAAAAAAGTCATAGAAAAAGAACAGTAAATGCAGGGATCATAAAGAATGAATCACTCACTTCTGGACCTAGATTCCACAGTGTAATTTCCCTACAGTAGTCATAAAGAGGAACAATTAATCTGCTTCAGCTTCATGAAGTTATTTTCATTTCAGAAACTGTTTCCCACTTGCCCTACTCACATCAGAAGTGTCCAATAATCAAATATACTACAACCAATTTGAATAAAAAACACCAGGGAACAAAAACTTGGATCCCCAAGGCTAATGCAGAGCACCAGCAAAATTCAAGACTTACTTTATATTCTCCATCATAAGGCTGAAAATATGCTGTTATGATTTGAATGGTATTATAGAAGCTTATTTTGACTTGGGTGTCATTAGAGACTAGAGAGCTAAATACAGTAGTTGGTAGATATTTGGTTTTAAGCACTATTCTAAATTGTCAAGATTAATCACAATGACACAATTTAAGTATGTGTTTTAACTTAATGTACCAAAACAAGTGTACTATACTCCCAAGATAAGTGAAATTAATTACCCTACAATCATCACAATAATCCTAAACCAAAATTAAACTTAGATTGGAACCTGTACACATTAAAACCCCAAACATTTATGAGTGCAGGTTCACGACACATTTGCTACACTCCAGTGCCATCTGTCTATAAAAAGATAATTAACATTTTCAATAAGAAGAAATACAGCTTGTTGTAAAGTGTACTTGGTCTTAGGCCATTGAATCCACTTAAATTCCTAAAATGAATGACACTGCCGATCCTTTTCTGAATTAAGAAATCATTAAGAAACACCATTTCCTCAGTGTATATTTAAAGCAAACTTTTCTGAAAAACAAATCCATCCAGAATGTTCTGATACAGAGATGCTCTGTAGAAGTCTCACTCCTAACTACTCCCCCAAATTAACCTTGAAGTCTTCCTGTAGCATTGAACAATAGAGCTGCATTTTGAAGACTCCAGAGAAGCTGGGAATAACTCCTCTCAAATTTGCATTTAGAAGACCATTTGGGGACAGCCTTTTGAAAGTCCACAACCTGCGGTGGAGTGACACAAAAATAAATGCTCTGCCAAGCCCCGCAGCACAAGGGATCTGACACGGACCCGGGTGCCCAGTACAAAGCAGGTTCATTAAATGCAGAGCCTTCCCTTTCCTCCTGCACTGTGGCTGGCTGGTGGGCTTTGTTTCCCCCCCTCTCCCTATGAAAAAGGCACAAATACTGTTTTGTTTTTTAAAATCTGGTAACAAGCTGAGCAGGTTTAAAACAGCCTGGTGTTAATTTAACAAAGTGCATTTGAGCCCCTCTGCCCAAAGGTGTATTCCCACACACTATGTAGGGAAACAAAACACCAGATGCTTTATGCTACTACTTTTTTGGAGGGGGAAAGCTACTTGGTCACACATTTTTTTGAAATACGCACATTTTTTCAAGGAAAGATGGAGCTTTTAAAAGACTAAATACCGCTTTTTCAAGGAGCAATTAGAGCAGGAAAGGGAAGTAAGACATTTTCCAAGTGTCTGCCTCGGCATTTATTGCCCCCTTTACAGCTGCCTCAGACTGCTGCCAGTGTTGGAGACCTGGAGGCAGCCGGATCTCTCCCCAGTCGCAGCTGATTTTCCAGTAGTGCCATCTACTGGTTTCTCTGCCGTGAGGCTCCGCAGAGAAAAGCCTTTCCCCAGCCCCCGGGGCGGGTCTGGCCGGGGGGCACCGCTCTCCCCCTCGGCTTCAGCAGCCCACCCGCAAAGCAAGGAAACAGCCGCCCCAGCGGTGGTTCAAAACCTGCAGTACTCCTCTTGCCAGAAATTAATACAGTCCTGTTTTATGCCGGTTCTTTACTACAACAACTTTGGTTTAGAAAAAGCCGGTTGCGGCTGGTTTCCTCCTCAAGGCATTTTACAAAAACAAATCATTATGGATTCCTCTTACTCTTCT